TCATATTATTAAATGAACTTTTCTTGCAATTTTGTTTTGTTTTTTGTTTTGTTTCTTCATTTTCATTTCGAATCATTCGATTATATCCAACAACAACAACAACAGCAAAGACGACAAAACAAAATGGTCGTCCATGTATAACGTAACGATTTCTTTTCCGTTGCTCAAAGATAATTGGGCAACGGATTTTTATTTTTATCTTGTTTTTTCGGGTAAAAAATATGATCGGAAAATTTTTTGTTTTCTCTCGATGAATAATTTAAAAACACGTTGTGGTTGTTCGTATATGGTTAAGATTATGGATGGTTGTCATTTGTAATGCCAACAAAAAAAAAAGCAAAAACAAAAATTTCACTTTCAGAATTTTCCCATTCTAAATGTAGTAATTATTTTTATGAATGTTTTCATTTTTTGACATGAACGAAATATATTTCACGAAAATTATAGTCATTTTTTTTTGTTGTGACATGAACCGCAATCGGATGATTTTTTTTTTGATTGAACAACTTTTTCGAAAATCGAAAAATTGAACCATAAAATTGTTGGTTTGGTTTGATGGACAAACCTAAACAAAACTAAAATGACAACCATAACAACCAAATTATGAATATTTTTGTCCATTAGTAATTTTTTTTTCTGTTTACCTGATATAATCAAATAATCAATTGATTTAACTTTTTGTTTTTCAGTTAAATTATTGAAAAATGATTGACAAAAATGTCACCTGGTGTAGGTGTGTGTGTGTATAGACGTCAAGAAGTTATATAAATGTGTCCAAGGAAATCCAAGGAAAACTTATTTTTCAACCAAAAATAATTCATAAATAATGTAAGTGAAAAAAAAGTTTGAAGACTATTTATTCATTCATTCATTCATTTCAATCATTCAATGAATGAATGAATTGTCCACCTTACAATCATCATGATCATTCATCCATATCGTCGTTGTCCATTCAATCATTTTTTTTTCTATTTTGGTTTTCTATTTCCATTTTGAATCGATTCTGAATGGAAAAAATAGACAAAAATAAATTCTTTTCTTATTTTTCGATTTATATTTTTGATTGTTCAGGAATTCAATCATAAATGGAAACAATTTGAATTCGTAAATCACAAACAGAATTTTTGGACAAAGAATAATGAACTTTAATGGAAGAAAAAAAAATAAAGTAATAAGATTTGAAAAGAAATGGAAAACAATTTAGTCAAGAATGAAAAGAAAAAATCATTATGAATGACCAAATGTGAATGAATGAATGAATTTCTGAAAATCAGAATCAAATTCTTATCATTCATAACCGGAGGCTGTTTGTTGTTGTTGTTGTTGTTTTCATCAATTTTTTTCATAATGATGATCAACATTTTAGTTAGTTAGTTAGTTGAAAGTTTTAGGTTAGTTAGTTTTGGTTTCACATTTAGAAACAAAAAAATAATAATGAATCAAATATCTGACCATCAGAAAAAAATATACACCATTTCTAAATATAAAAGAAAATGGAAATAAATCAAAGTTCCAGAAACGAAATCTGATTCTGATAAACTTTTTTGTTTATAAGAGATTCTGATTTCATCGTTTTCTGTTGAACGATTATCCATTCCAATCACATATTCACACAAACCAAGAGAGTGTGTGTGTTTCATTTTTGTTTGTTTTCAATGAATGAATGAAAGAAAAAAGAAATTACATTGTTTTTAATCTTTGCTGTGGCCAAAAACAAAGCAAAAACAAAAAACAACGAGATTCTTTTGGATGGATGCTTATTATATTCCGAAAAAACTACTACTAGAAAGTGATAATAGAAAGTTGGTAAATCCGTTTTTTTTGATTCATTGAAAAAAAAATCTCCGTGTGTTTGAATATAGTTTGAATTAATTAATTAATTAATTGGAATATTATGCAAAAAAAGGAAACAAAATTAAGTAAATGAATAGAATTGAAAGAAGATTACAGTGGAGGGAGAAAGGTAGAAAAAAATCCGGATACAATGTGCATCGTCAATGTTTCCGTGGTTTTTAATGATTTGGTTGCTTTCAAATGGGAAAAGAATTAGAAAATCCTGGTATCTTTTGTTCTGGTTTTTGATAATTATAACCAGTAACCAGCAGCAGCAGTTAATCAAAACAATGGATGAATAATGAAAAAAAAAGTTAACAAATTAATGATAAAAAGATGCAAAATAAATAACGGTTTTTTTCATCAATCAAATGATGATGATGATTATGATGAAATTATTTGTTACGAAATGTTGTTGTTGTTGTTTTCTTTCTCACACAATCGCTTCACATCAAATGAATGGTAAAATTTCAATTTTTTTTGTTGCTGTTGAAAACATGAAAAATAAATCAACAACTTAGATTAAATGATTGATTGATAAATGAACTAATATGAATTTTTGCAAGTTATTTCACAATACGATCAAATTACCCGAAATGTTAATGGAGAAAACAAAATCATTCAAAAGAGATTGAATGTTACAAGCGCAAAAAACAACAACAACAACAACATTTGCAATGAACATCATCATGTTTTCATCCAGGTACAAAAGGTGTTGTTACACGTTCAACAACTACAACAACTAACAAGAAACAAAACAAAAAAAGTTTTATTTCAAATAACAAAAAACACATTGGACACATTATCATTATTATATAACTGAATCCTTTTTTGTTTTGTTTTTTTTTCAAACAAATAAAATTCATGTTTAATGTTTTTTCAATGCACTCAATTTCTTATTTCAGGTATGTATTCCTCTGTTTCAATTCAAATTGTTTTGCATCCACTCTTTTTTTGTTTGTTTGTTTGTTTGTGCATTTCATTACAACGCAACTCAAAAGTAGCACAAAAAACGTGTTTCAGATTCTTTAATGGATTTTCAATATCAATGAAAGAAACGAAAAAACAATGTTCTGTTTTTGTTTTGTTTCCATAATCAAAGATGTTTTCTGATATTTGGCATTCATTTCTTTCATCAACAAATTTGACTGTTCCCGGGAAGATTCCCTACATTTTTTATGTTTGTTTCGTTTTTCACGTACAAAATGGCGAAGAAGATATACCAGAAAGAATCCTGACATAAAGAATGTAAGAATATATAGAAATCATTACTATCATAATGATAATAATAATAATTCAAAACCGCAAAAGAAAATAACCCGAAAAAAAAGGATAACCAAGAAATAAAAAAAAATCACCGCATGTGTAAATAGTGTGTGTGTGTGGATGTCATTTTCACTATTGGATTTTTCTCCATACGGAGAGAATAAATCTTTTTTTTTTGCTGAAAGTAAAGAAAAATGAAAGAAATCCAAATGAATTATGGTTGCCGAATTCGTGTTGATACCCGAAATAATGAAAATCATCATAATAATAATAATAATAATCGATGGAAAGCTGTCATCAAACTTCGAATAAGTTGACCAACACACACATAAATTGTCCATTGTTCTTTTTTTTCTGGCCAAAATAATAAGATGTAAATCAGATTGGCTAAAGTTTTTTCTTCTGTTGCTGTTGCTATGTTTCGAAATTTATGTCGATATAAGAATGTGTTTAGGTCAAACCAAAACACAGCATTCGAAATGGAAATGGAAATTTTTTTCCTTTTCTTTTCTTTTTTTTCTTTGTTTCGCGATGATAATAGCGAAAACGAAAAAGAGAAAAAAGTTTTTCCAGAATCAAAAATTCTAATCATTATTGAAATTCTTTTAGAAAGGTATTTTTGGTTTAGAATAGCTGAATGGACAGAAATTTTTTTTGGTTGAAAAAAGTGGATTTTTTCTTGACACCCGGTAAATTTTTTGGTTAAAATTCAGTAGAAAAAAAATTTCCTTTGATTTTTGTCTAATCTTTTGTACAGAATTTCAATATATTTCAATTCTATTAACACCCAAAATCTACCATTTACGACAGAATAAACCCCCCCCCCCAAAAAAATATAACAGTGATATTACAGGTATTTTCTGTTTACCAAATTTTTTTTTTCATTTTCAATCTCAAATTGATTTTGACATACATCGATTTTTCGTGCAAATTTAAAGAAAAAGTCAAAGTTGTTCATTCATTTCATTTTCATTTTCATTCATTCTGGATACAGAATTTCTACGAATCGATAGAATCGTAGTCGTATCGGTAATTCTTTAGGGACATTAGTCTTTTTTCTCTGGAATAATATGAAAGTGAGAAACCTAACCCGAACCAAAAGAAAAACAAAATGAATGAAAAAGAATCTAAAATAACCTTTTCAAAAAAACCAAATCCCATTCATTTCGATGAATTTCGGATACAATTTTTCAACCAACATAAAAAATTTCCTTTTTTTTCATATCACCATCAACATAAACGTGTATGTAGTTAATTAATTAAGTCACAAGTGCTTTTGTAAATTGAGAAATTTCTAGAGAAAAATTCTTAGGAAATTTATTCACCACACACACACCAACAACGAGATAAATAGATTCAATATTCTTGATGACAATTTTTTTTACCTCTTTCAGCTTGTGTTTTTCATTTCTCTCTCTCTCTATGTCAGTGACAGAAAATGGATCGTTTTTTTTTCTTCTTCTTCTTTTGCTAGATGGATTCCCTCTTTATAATTCTCATTATTATTGAATGATGATTGTAAGAATTTGTGACTTGAATTTGATTCATTTTGATCATTATCCACATCGTTTTCATAATAAAAAAGCACCAAATGGTGTATAATTGAAATGAAACAGATAACAGTGATTTCTCTCTTTCTCTCCACTATATTTATACAGAAAAAAGATCAATTTACTAAATTACTTTTGATCAGATTTTTGTAGTTTAACGCGTTCGCTACCAGCGACGCATATATGCGTCGTTTATTTGCTGTAGTTCTATGTGTTTTTCGAAATCTCCGGTAGCGAACGCGTTAAAAAAAGTGAAAGAAAAATCAACGAAAATGCTACTGTTGTTGGTTGCTGTGATTGGATTGGAAAATTTTTAAAAATGTTAATGAAAAAAAAATCCAAGAATCTTACCTCTTCATCCGTTAAATTATTGACCGATTCCATTGATTGATTAAGATGTGTTAATGAATTATTATTGCCGTTGTTGTTGTTGTTGTTGTTATTGTTGTTGTTGTTGTTGTTATGATTGTTGTTTGAAACAACAATATTATTTTCAATAATATTGTTTCCGTTGTTATTTGCGTTGGTAGTTGTATTATTGTTATTATTAACTGCGGCAACAGTGGCCGCATGTACTAATTCCATTTGGAACAAGATGATCCAAGTTTTGAATTTTGTCTGAAAATATTATGTTTCAATATTATTGGGTTTAAAATGCACTGATGAACAATTCACTGATGAACAATGATACTCAATGATGATGATTCTATTAAATTTATTAATTACTTAATCAACAATAGTGCAATGTATTGCGCATGTGTAAAAAAAATCACGATTAATGATAATGATTTAATCGGAAATCAATCGTAGAACATAAAACATCAATGACTAGCAGCAACAACAAGTTGTTTGAAATGAAGAAAAAAAAAGTAGAAATTGAAAAAAGTAAAGCGTTTCCTGTCGATAAACTATGAAAAGCTTTTATAATTTTCGGGTGTGTATCTTGAGTTTTGACGAGGGTTATTATTTTTTTTTCTTCCAGAAAAATTTCTCAATTCACACAATTAATAAGGTCCTAGGTTGTCGTCTGTTCACATCAAAAAAAAATCTTTTTAAAGTTTTGTTTTTTTCTGTTTTCCGATGTCAAATGTGACACAATAAAATTTCCGGCCAAAGTAAGGTCAAACAAACAAGGTCTTTTTAGATTGTACGAGCAGGAGAGAGAACAAGAGAGAAAAAAAGGTCAAATTTTGTTGTTGTTCACATTAAACACACACACACACAATGGAACGATGATGATAATGATGATGAAGGTTATATTGAAAACACAATGGCGTTTCAATCAAATTGTTGATCCAAGCTTTTGGTTTTTTTCTCTGGTTTGTTGTTGATCGAATGATGATTGCAAACGAATGATCAAAAGAAAAGAAATGCTTGCAGGAAAAAAATTGATGATTATTCTGGAAAAGAATATGAAAAAGAATTAGGAATTTTATTTTTAGAAAAAAATTACCGGGAAAAAATTGAATTAAAAGAAAAAAACAAACTAAATTACAACTGTATATCTGCTAAAAGAAAAGAAAAGAAAACGATTTGACATTAGTTATAGGAAAACTTTACGAAACAAAACAACGACAATCATCATCATCGATTTTTTTCCCATTTTCTGTTTCCACAGTCTCTCGTGGTTACAGAAAATGTAATGATAATTTGTCAATTCAACTATACGTTTTTCTATGCGTTGTTGTTGTTGTTGTTTGCGAATCAATCTTACGTTTTATATTCTATGTGTTTTGTTTTGTGTTTGTTTGTTTGTAATGCGTATGGTTTTTGTTGTTGTTGTTGTTGTTGCTCTGACATTCTCATCATTTTTTTTTATTTGGGAAAGTTGATCGTTTTTTTCTTCTGTTTAGTTTAGTTTGTTTGCTTGCCATTTTTTTTGCTCTTTGGTTTCCAGGTAAACACCGACAGCGAAAACATACACAGAGCGAGTGAAACAAACAAACAAACAAACATAACGTTGACACACGCAAATAGAAACCGGAGATGACGATAATTTTTTTTTTCTACAAAGAATATTATTTTTTTTTCTCTTTGGTATCAACTTTACCCGACCGACCAACCAAACAATGGTTTAATACTCTGCAACAAAGAAAAAAAAATCATTAACTGGTTTTTTTTGTAGAGATTGTGGAACCAGGTAGCAGAATCCGAAAAGCAAAAACATATGGAATCCATAATTCTTTACTCTTCTTTTTTTTCTCACTTTTTCATTTTGAATCATGTTTTTTTTCGTTGTCGTTAGTGGCAAAACAAAACAACAAAAAAAAATTAAAATTCAACCAAATCATCATCATCATTCGTGAGATATGTAAATATTAATAAACAAATATCATCAGAGAGGAAAAAGAATGGAAATCATTTTCTATTTACATGATCTTTTTTTCTTGATCTGATCTTTTCAGTCATTGGCTTTTGGTTGTTTATTATCTCTAACCACTACCAAATTGGCTAACAATAATCCAGAAAGAAAATCCATTTAAATCAGATAAGATAGCTAAATGTTTTGTTTGTTTACTGGCAATTATGAATTGCGAAATGAATGATAAAAAAAAATGACATCATCATCATTTGAATCAAAAAGAACATTCGAGTATAAGCGAATCGAATCAAAAGAATTTTTCATTTAAAAGGTAAATAACAAAAATAAGCAAATAAAGATCGATTGATAAATGGAAATATGACTTGCATCATTGAATGACAATAAATATTTTTGCACAAAAAATTTCAAACCAGAACAAATTCAATGACAAACCTATGGAGAAATGTTTTGTTTGTTTGTTTATTTTGTTTAAAATTCATTTTCTATCTGCATCTTTGATTGATTTGATAATTGTAAAAGTAAATTGGTTTTCAACATTATTATTTTCTTTCATCAAATAAGTCAAACATTCAAAAATTCATATCTTGACTGATGATTAATTTAAATTTTTCAATTTTTTTTTCAAAAATTTTAAACGCCAACACGAATAAAAAGAACGACAAACAACAATAATCCATCAAATGTAGCTGTTATTTCAATGAATTCGCATCAATCAATCAATCCATCAACAACAAAAACCGGTATCAAATTCAAATATGGTTTCAAAAAAGTATTCAAATGTCATAACGAAAAATGGATCGACATTTTAGTGTTTTTTACCTTTAGTGAGAGAAATTCATAAATGACAGGACGAATATCTCAATGAAAAATTCAATTTTTAATTACAAAATTTTTTTTTTAAATCTTACCTTAGAAAGTAAAGGGCTGGAAAACAATTTTAAAAGTAAAAACGAAACCAAGTAACTTTTTGTTTTAAATAATCATTATTATTCATTGGCTGGAAATGAGAAACTTTACAGAAAAAAAACAATTTTTTTACGTAAAATGTTTGCCGATGAAAAACAAAATAATAACAGCCGTATGTCGTAATCGTGTTTGAAATGTGAATGAGAAAATAAAATGATCAGAACACACATAAATTGAATGAATGAATGAACGAATCGACCGACCGACCGACCAAAAATACTGAATTGAAATTGTAAATACGGTAAACGGTAAAAAGACGATGAGAAAAATAATATACACACACACCTTTATAATAAACCACTTCTACCATACATTTATTCCCTGATGATGATGATCATTTTTGCCCATTTTTTGATTTTCCTTTTCTCCACATAAACAGTAAGTTCAAAGGATACATACACAATTGAAGAGAAAATTGAATGGAAAAAAAAGGTACACACACACAAAAATACGTTTCAATTCCGTTGTGGCAGGTTTTATTTTTTCCTATTTTATTTTTGTTTCATTTGTTTGTCGTCTGCTGAAAAACAAAAAAAAGCTACACTCTCATAACATATATAGAGAGAGAGAGAGAGAGATGGATAGAATAGTGAAGTGAAGAAAAAAACACCGGTGATAGCAACCAGGTAGGTAAAATACCGTTAACCACATTTGGTTAGTGTGTGTGTGTATTGTTAGTAAGATTGGTTACATAATATAGCAAGTAGGATGGGTGTATAGTAGTAAAATGAATATATGATGATGATATAAGATGTTAAATCCGGGCGTATCAATTAATCATCAATTTTCACTTTGTGATTAATCCTGAATTCCAACAACGGGAATATCCGACGGAAATGTTTTTTTTGGAGGGATGATTTGATATGATGGTTGATTTGATTTGATTTGATTGAATTTTCAGGCATCCGTTTTTAGGCGTGCTGTCAGCAAGGGAAAATTTCAGTTTTTTTCTTCTTGATCTATAAAATCATCACTACACACCTCATTTAATCAGATTTAATGATAATGATAATGATGATGATGATCAGTCAACCTTGTCCAGCAGAACTTTTTCTCGGAAAAAAAACAACCGACAGAAAAAAAAACGGAAATAAATGATCAATTTTCTTCTTCTGATGATGATGATCATCATCATCATGATGCTTGGCAATAAAAATTTAAAATTTTTAGATTTTTTCATTGCCTAACCCCTAAATTGATTTGATGACCTTTTTTTTGATGATGAGAATCTAAATTGTTTCATTTTTTTTCAAAATTGTCGAATGTGTGAGAAATATTTTGGGAAAATGAAAAAAAAAACAGGTAAATGGAAATCATGATAAAATCCTTTATTTTTTTGTTGAAAAACTTTTTCAAAAAAAAAATCAAAACTTTTAGCCAACCGAAATCCGAATCGATTGACTTATGACAGTGTGTTTGGCTGTGTGTATTTGCTATTTATTTCGGTTCATTTCGATTCGATTTTCGGTTTCGGTTGTTGTTGTTGTTCGTGATCAGAATTTTAATTTCTTTTGGTTCATTTTATCCACACACACACAAACACAAACATATAGCACTGGTTCAAAAGTTGTTCATTTTGTTCACGTTATTGTTGTTGTTGTTGTTGATCATGATGATGATCGACAAACGCCAAAATGATGACAACAATAAAAAATATAATTCAAATTTTTGTTTTTTGATTTAGATTTATTTTCTCTCTCTCCCTCACTATCTACCTATTTATCATCATCATCAAAAAGTTTTTTAAATACACAGGTGAATAGAGAGAGAGAGAGAAAATTTATGAGAAACTTATGGCCATTTTTTCTCAAAAAAATATTTCCACAGAGTGAAATTCTTCCATTGTTTATTTCAAATATTAGTAACGAACAAAAAAAAGAACATAATTCATTACAGAATATTCTTCGTGTTTCTCTCTCTCCCTTTAATTATCTATTTTTCAATTGTTTTGTTGTCGTTGTTTTATTTTCGAAATTCTAGTGACAAAACAAAACAAAATTCTTGTTTTTTAATTTCAAAATAAAAAAAAACAAAAAAATTCTCATCAAGAATAATAATTATACACCAAACACACACACACAACGTATATTTATCATTTTGTCACACGATGAGGTTTGTTGTTGTTTTTGTTGTTGTTAATCGATTATGTTATGTACCACACACACACACACACGATAATAATAAAAAGTGTCACCACACACCTTTATGAATGAATGAATGAATATTCTACATTTGAATGGCTATCATAAATGTTTTCAAGTGAAATTCTTTTGAAATTTTTCATATGTGTCATAAATATTCTTTTTCCATTCAAATCTCCATGGGTTATATATGGGTTATTAGAAATGAAATAAAATTAATAATTATCCCCCTTTGTATAGTAATTAATTTGAATATTTATTGTCAAGTGAAAGAAAAAAATGTTTGGGATAATCCATTTTTTTCTGTTATTTTTGTGAAATTCAACCATCCATAATGATGATTATTAGGATAATTCTCAGCTTTTTCTTTTATTT